CCTACGCAGAAAAAAACCTTACATATCTAGTGGGTCTACCGGATCAAGCAGGAGAGTGGTGGAAGCAAAAGATTCAAGGCCAGATAAGTTGTGAAAGGGTTCCAATAAAGGATAGAAATGGATTATATAGAGATATTTTCCTCCGTCGTGAAGCTTACAACCATCAGAATGGTGTTGAGCTTAGTAGCTGCTAAAAATCTCTACCTTGAGCAGTTGGATGTAAAGACTACATTTCTTCATGGTGACTTGGATGAAAAAATCTATATGAAGCAACTTGTTGGCTTTATAGAGGAAGGAAAGGAAGATATGGTGTGTAGGCTCAAAAACTACTTGTACGATTTGAAACGGACTCCAAGACTGTGGTACAAAAAATTTGATAAGTTCATGCAGAGCAATGGCTATGGCAGATGCAATTCAGATCATTGTTGCTATTTCAAGAGGTTCGATTCCAACTATATCGTGTTATTATTATACGTAGATAACATGTTAGTTGCAGGGCCATGTTTACAGGAGATAAATAAGTTGAAGAAGCAGTTAGCAAAAGAGTTTGTCATGAAGGATTTGGGTACAGCCAAGCAAATTCCTGGGATGCGAATTAGTCGGGATGTGGCTGAAGGGACGCTGAAGTTGAGTCAGACTGAATATATTGAGAATGTACTTTAGAGATTCAACATGCAGAATGCGAAGGCTGTTGGCACGCCCCTTGGAAGTCAGTTCAGGTTATCTGAGGAGCAGTCATCCAAGACAGATGCAGAGAAGGAGTTCACGACCAGAGTGCCATACTCATCAGCCATTGGTAGTCTCATGTATGCGATAGTTTGCACGAGGTCGGATATCGCCCATGTAGTGGGAGTTGTGAGCAGGTTTGCCAGCAATCCAGGGAAGCAACATTGGGAGGCCGTGAAGTGAATATTGTGATACTTGAGAGGGAGTACGGATATGCCACTGTGTTTTAAGAGAAAGCAGTTGATACTGCAGAGATATGTTGATGCAAACTTTGTCGGTGATCATGATACAAGGCGAAGTACCATAGGTATGTTTATACCTTAGGGTCGACAGCAGTGAGCTGGGTCTCACGTTTGCAGAAGATAGTGACGTTGTCCACGACTGAGGCAGAGTATGTCGGAGTAACTGAAGCTAGCAAGGAGATGATTTGGTTGACTGGATGTCTAGAAGAGTTGGGTCTGAAGCGGGGGAACTGAGTTTTTATTGTGATAGTCAGAGTGCTATACACATTACCAAGAATCTAGAATATCATGCCAAAATAAAGCACATCAACGTGCGTTACCATTTCATACGCTCGCTGATAGAGGACGGGAAGTTACTATTGGATAAAAGTTTGGGGAGCCAAAATTCTGCAAATATGTTGACTAAGGTAGTAGCCATCGAGAAACTGGAGTTGTGCGCAACTTCAGTTGGCCTTCACGCGTAGGAGATGAGGGCGAAGCCACACTAGGAGGACAGGTGCGATCACCGAGAATGATGTTGATTGAAGAATAAAATTTTCGGGGGAGGAGAAGCTGCTTGCGAATATGGCTAGAGTTCAAGAGAGCTTGTTGATGTAGGTTTGCTCTCCAAGTAGGAGATTGTTAGCTTTAGGGTGTGTAGACCCAAACCTGAGAACAAAATCAGAAGCTGGAAAAAAACCCCGATCAGTCGACCAAAGGGTTAGCATCAATCGACCGATTCGACTGTAGGAAAGAAGTTGGAAAATGTCTCTCTGGTCGGTCGACTGGTGAGGTGCCACCAGTCAACTGACAACATGCACGAAATAGGCTGAAAGCTCCTATCGGTCGACCGATGCAAGTGCATCAGTCGACCGATATCCGGTCATCCTGTTTCCTGATTCGGTTTGGAATCTGTTTTGAGTTAGGGTTTTATATATTTCTTGAACGTTCTTTTGAGAGGTAAGACACGAAAAAGAGAACGTTTTGAGTGCATTTTGAGATCAGAGATCTTAGAGAGAGTGTGACCTATTGCAAGCTTTGTAATCTTCTTCAATAATCAAGGAATTTCTGGTGTGGTTCTCGAGAACATAGAAACGTTTGCCGAACCTCGTTAAATCTGGTGTTCTCTCTTTTATTTATTCTTTCCTGCAAGTTTTTCAATTCGCTATGATTTCTTGCTTGCTAATTGTTCGTCACAAGATCCGGAGGGCACGGGTTGTCGATTGTTCAACCCCAACAAAGATGCAGTCAGTCATCATCGATGTTTAACCTTAAGACAAGTTCAACCTTCTAACTAGATAGCTATTACGCTTCCCGGTACTAATCTTCAACTTCCATCACATTCTAGTATTTGGACTCGTCCTCAGTTACTGCAAACCTGACATATTTTCACATATTTTGGACTTCTAGGTAATATCTTCTCCCGTTATTGCATTATCAGAATCAAGATCTGAGAGAAGCTGCAGTTTGATCCGTAATAAAAAGTGAAAGCCCTATTCTACTTATCGTTTATCCTTTCAATTCATGAGAGCAGTGATCTATAGAAACACATCATCCTACTAAAATTTTCCTACACTCATATAAGCATGGAATCTGCAACGCGTCCAAACAAGAAATTTATATGAGCAGAAACAGCATGGATTATAAGTTGATAACCTAGTAGTCAACCTGCTCATCTGTTCAAGATAAGATCAAAAATAATTGTGATTAATTGCATAAATTGAGAACCTCACATACCAAATTTTCATCCATTGTAACTTGAGAGTAATATTTTTCCATGTATTAATACATTACCTACTACACAGTTATAAATGGAAGCAGCTATCGCCTTCATCTTAATCTTTAATAAGCATAGACCTAATCCCATATTTCATTTTATTTTATTTTATTTCCTCACCTATGTCCTAGATACCGTTCTCTGACAGAATAGCAAGTCGGCAATCCTATATTCCTCAGCATTCAGCCATCATGATGATATTTTTAAGTCATTTGACCATCATATGTTTACTCAAAGATGAAGCAGTTTCATTTGGATTCTTGAACATCATAAATTTCAAGGTAAATAAAAAAGTTTTCTAGGTTTAGTTTTTCCTCCATAATTCTAAAGATTAGCTTGGAAGAAAAAGTTACTTGTCAAAATGATGTGTACTATTGGATTTGTGTCAATCATCATGAATCATCAGTTTCACATCATCAAACCCTTCTTCCTGCGAAATTGATGCCTGAAGCAAGACTCAAAGATGAGAAGCTCCGCAAATAACTACCGAGATTTTAAAACAGCTTGTCAACTGGATGAAAAGAAGTATGCATTGACAGAAAGTTTGTTGTTGAGGAAACTACTAAAGAAAGGACTTGCTCCAATGTTTTAAGAGCCATTAGAAGTAGGAAGAATATAAACAATGTAACAGAGAATCAAAGAGAGCAGCTCTCAATTTTTTCCTAGACTAGTAAAGAATATAAACAATGTAACAGAGAATCAAAGAGAGTTTGGTTGATGGTCAAGGACTGTTCACCACCAACAGACAGCCCATCCACTAGAAAACAGCCAGTGTTTCTAAGATTCAAATGAGAAGACAGGGAAAATCCAACATTCCTTTGAAGTAACCAATCACTTCCAAAATCCTTCCTTTTCGAAGAAGCCTACAAGATTTGAGAGCTAACCAGAATGCATATGTTCTCTTTTCTAAATGAAGTCACCCAAATTAGTGGATAGGTGGCAGCTTATCCTTCAAAAAAGTTAACAAGGGCCATTAGATAGTAGATTCTATCTTCCTCGAACAACTCCGAAAGTCTATCCTATACAATTTGTTTCGCCCTACTACAGATTCTGCATAATCTTATCTCTATGTTTCTTATGAGAACATAATTGATATTAAACATCTTAGATACGGGTCATATAACGACCCTAGAGGTTGAGACTGAAGGAATCAAACATTGTAAATCGACCCTCTAGTCGAGTGCACAACCATCAAGGTCAAAAGCACTAGAGCATATAGGAGGTTCTCTAAAGAGAAACCCCTCAGAAATTGAATATAGCATCAATTCACCTCAGAAATTCTATGCTGTACAATATGTTTGCCTACTAAAGATATTGCATAGTCTTATATCTATGTTTTTTATGAGAACATAATTGAAATGAAACATCATAGATACGGAACATATAACAACCCTAGAGGGCGAGATTGAAGGAACAAAAGATTGCAATTCGATCCTCTGGGTTGTGCACAACCATCTATACTACTTATAAAAGAGAATTGCTATGTTAATACTTTGATTGCCTTTTTTTTCCTCTCAATTTTGATAATTCCCATTTATGCCATTATTTCTAATTAACCTTTCATTAGTCATACATAACCTATTATTTAATCATACATCTCCCCAATTTCAAAAAACCATAGTACTTCACTAGAATATAATTTATAATAATAAGAATAACTATAATAATTATTTTACTACATTATTTCGTAATTATTTATAAACTATAATAAATTAGCTAAAATAATAATATAAATAATATAATATACTGTAGTACACTTCATACCTATTTCACTAGAAAACCTTAAATCCATCTCCTAAAAACTGCAACCCACAGAGAAATCTTAATAGCCTTAGCATTCATTTATCGCTAGAAGAACATTTTAAGAGTGCAAGCATCAGAAATGATATTAATACCAAGTTTAAAGAGGAGTACAAACAGTAAATAGTTTGGACACTTTCTATTTGGCAATCACCATAAAGTAATGAAAGACAATTATACATGCTTGCATATAAGGAAACGTAGCAGCAATACCTATGATGAAGAGTCGGTTTAAGGACCAACAATAAGAAGGCAATTATGACTGCTTTGTATAACTATCAAGAGTATGTGATACAGTAAAAACTACTCAAAATGTGCAGAAAGAAAACTAAATATACATCAGAAACATGCATAAAGGTAAAAACTTGCATTTGCAGCATGAGCACATCAATAAGCTGACAAATAAAGATACAGGACCAAAAACTAAGTTGCTATGAAACAATTAATACATTGAAAGTAGTAGTAAAGATCTTGCGAATATCGCAGGAAAAAAAATATACATTCATGCATATGAATTAAGGATGAGTACTGAGTTAGAGTCTGACATGCAATCTTTTACAAAACTAATTGAAAACCCCCGAGCCTTGACAAACAAGGGGCAGTATTCCGACAAACCAAGAGGAAGGAAACCCATAGCAAGGGTCACCTCCACTAAATATTACAATTTCGTAGGGATCAAAGATCTATGGAACATGCTACATTTGATCATATAACATTCATACAACACATTGATCAAAGGTACTCAAAAGGACTTTCCAAGTGAATAATGAAATAAAGAACATAAAGTCCAGAAGGAATCATACCGATAAATACTATGCAGCCTCAGGCTCATCCTTCCCGTAAATGAGTGGGAATTCATCAAACTGCTCTGAGTACTCATGCCCACCTCCAATACTCTTCAATGACTGATAAACCCTATACATCGATAACCTCTCTTGAGGCCTAACAGCAACACATCCACAAGCAACCTTCAAGAACTCTACAATTTGATCATCATGCCCGTTCCCTCTCAACGGTTTATCGATAGCTTCACGAATTTTACCAGCAACAACGAGTTGAGTAACCCAGTCCACCAAATTCCCCTTAAATCCTTCACCAGCCAAATCACTGTTCACCTCAGTAGCCTTCTGTCCAGTTGCAAGCTCAAGTAAAACAACCCCAAATCCATAAACATCCCCTTTTGTGCTTGGCACCGGATTGGTTGCATACTCTGGTGCAATATACCCAAACTCCCCAAAATCCCCATTCAAGAATGGAGTCGTGTTCAAACCCTCGTCGGAGGTCCAAGGCCTCATTAGCCTGGCCAGACCAAAATCAGTGACTCTGGGCTCATACTCTTCATCAAGAAGCACAGCATTCGAGCTAACATTTTGATGCAAGAAAGGAACTTGAAACCCATGGTGAAGCCAAGCCAGCCCTCTCGAACCCCCAACCCCAATCCTCAACCTCGTCGGCCAGTCCAAACCCTGACCCCCATCCCTAATCATCGACGAAAGAGCTCCATTCGCCATATGCTTGTAAATCAAAAGCTTCTCTTCTTCAACAACACAATAGCCAAGCAAAGGAACCAAATTCGGATGCTTAATCTACGCCATCCTCCCCATCTCATCCCTAAACTGCTTCTCCGACAACAGACAACCATAAAGCCTCTTCACCGTCAACGCCGACCCATCACGAAGAATAGCATGATACGCCGTCCCAATCCTCGAACTCCCCGTGACCACAATATAGTCCGGGTGAAAATCCTGCGAAGACCTCATCCGATCCAACCATCGGCAAAAACATGTAGGAGGACGTTGACGACGACGATGAGGAAGAGGAGGGGAAGAGGGAGGGGATGAATTTGGGGGAGAGGGAGGAGATGAATTTTTTTGATAATTGTGGGTTTAACTTGTAATAATTTTGGGAGCCACAGCGTACCCACGATCAAAGAAACCACAGCTCCAAAAACCCCAGCAGCGATTATGATAACAAGGCCCGGTTTCGACA